GATGGGTAAGAAAAAATATTTTAATCTTATTTTACCGTTTTAGATTTGCATGTCTAGTAGAGGCTTTTCATTCTCTAGCTTTCTGCTTTAGGGCAGCATCTAAGTCTGATTTTCAGAAAACAGACATTGGAATTAGTTGGGAGAGCTTGTTAAAAATCAAACAAACAAAAAACCCCCAGCAAATTCTTGGGCTCCCACCCCAGATCAACAGGCTTGTCATTTCTGAGGCCTGGGAAACTGATTTTAACAAGTTTCCTGACCCTTCCACCTCCTCCAGGGTGATTTGGAAACACATTAATATATTTATGGTTTCATGTTCCATGTTGTTTCTCTGGTGTGGGGAGGGGGAAGGATTGGGAGAGTTGGTAGGGGGAGAGAGATTGATTGATTCTCAGTTTTGTACCACACCATGAGCAAAGAGAGTAACCGCTGTTGAAGGTTCTTTGTTTGTTGGAATGAACAGAAGGCAGTTCAAGAAACCCGGGGTGTATGTTTGTAAAGGGCACAAAACCGGTTGTGTGGGCTGATAAGCCTGGGGCTGAAAATATTTGAAACTGCAGATTTGCAAAACCCTGAATTGCAAGGTTATTTAGAATTTTTTTTTAATAAGTGGGCACACACTATCATACGACTATCATAGTTTGAAGCCTAGTGAATTGGAATTTGTGACTATTTATAAATAGAAACTTGATTCTTATCAAATAAGATATTTGAAATTTAAAAAAAAGTCTGCAAAATATCTAAACCAAGTGAACAAATCCAAGGTTTCATAAATGAAGGATTTTTTGAAAAATAGAAATTCTTGAATTCAGCCATTAATTGTGCCTTTTAACAGGCTTTTATGATACCAATCTGTCAGGTAATACAGGTACTGTATAATTTCTCTTAATCTCATCTAACTTATTCATACCCCAATACATCTTAGTTTACATTATATGCTGTATAAAAGTAAATGCGGGGCAGGTAGAGTGGTGGTGGAGAGTGTAGCTCAGTGGTAGAGTGCAAGCCTAGCATGCATAAGGTCCTGGGTTCAATCCCCAGCACCTCCATTAAAAATAAACAAACTAATTACCTACCCCCCCACAAAATAAAGTTCTTATTAAAGTAAGTAACATTGAAGTATTGTCTTAGACTTTTCACTGAAGTTGTGTCTACCTGACAACTTCCCAACCCTTTCATGAAGTTGGACTTGAACAGAAATCCGTTTAATTCAGGTGGCTCGCAAATGATTAGGGAACCTTATACGGGAGTTGTGTTTGTGGTCTCCAGGTTCCCTCTGCCTGGGCCTGGCTGTGGCCTGTGGATGGAGGTTGAGGGGAGGGGGCTCTTGGGGATGCCTTCTTGGTTTACTAGTGTGGTGAGGCTGACGGCAGCTGCTTTCCCAGGCCTCCAGGCTTCCAGCCTTGGGGTGATGTGCATTCACTCCCTTGTCTAGCCCATCATGACTTCCTGTTCTTTTTCTGTAATGTTTTTCAGATCCACTCCTTCCTGTTGCATTCCCAAGCCCAGTTCTGGTCCAGGCTCTAATTACCTCACACACACCTGCACTCTCCTAACATCCTCTTTCCTGTCTACAACTTTTCCTCTCACCGTTATTTTTTTTTTCCCTTTCCTTCACATAGTTGTTAGAATCCTCTTCCTTAAGCATCATTTCCATCACACTCCTCCTCTAGCAGCTCCCAGTTGCATCAAATCCAAGCTCCAGGTCTCTGCTTCAAAGCCCCCTCTCACTGCCTGGACCATTATCTTCTTTACAGCTGGACTTCACTCCAGCCAAGCAAACGTCCTGACACTATGTCTATACACTGCTACAACATCTGGTTAATACAGTCAGCTATGTCAGATCTTCAGTTAATCATCTGGATGTTTTGTCTACAAGATGCCAAACATCTGGATTGACTGAAGAAATCCACTACATTGATGGAGGCTTTAAAAAAAAAACTGAATTAACCAGATGTTTTGGCATTATGTAGACATGTCACTGTCTCCTACATTTGTCTTAGTGGCTTGTCTGCATAACATTCTCTCCACCTGGAACCTGACCTCTGTCCTCGAGGCCATGCTCTTTCTTCTTTTCATGTTATGGTCAGAGTTCCCTCTACCACAAAGCAGTTCTAGATTAATCCCACTAAACCACAATCTTGATTCATTCTATCACTCACTTAGTTTTCTATGCATAGAATTCCTTACAACTGAAATCGCTGTGTTTTGTGTTTTTATTCTGGGGTGTGAGTCTCTGTCCCTACCCACCGGATTACAAACTCTATTGGGAAATATAAGGTCTGGCTTATGTACCGAGAGGCATGGTAGTCCGGTGGTCAACTGAAACTCTGGATTCCGTCTTGTTTTAAAATCCAGCTGCTCTGCTTCCTGTGTGACCTGGACAAATTATTTAGCTTTGCTAAGTCTCCTCATTTCAATAGAGATAATAATAGAGCTTGCCTCATAGAGTTGTTTATAAGAATTAAAATAGTTAATACAGATTAAGTGCTTAGAAGAGTGTCTGGTTTAAAAGAAGTATCCATTAAATATTAGCTCTTATTGTTATAAGCTCTGTGAATGCCTGGTTTTCTTGTGTATTCTTTCTTTTGCCTGTGACAGCTAGATAGGTGAGGTGGCTGTTGCTGTTCCCATGAGAGAGAAGACTGATATTAAGAGGTTAAATCATTTTCCTGTTAAATCTGTTGCAGGTCTGAAGCCTTAATAAGCCTTGCTTTCCACACAGTACATGTTGGCCCTAGGTTCCTTCTAGTTTCAGGAATTGAAATGTTGCTGTCTATAAAGAGCAGGTACTCAAGGAAGCCTTTTGGTAGAAGTGTGTTTTCCTGCAGACCAGGGTTTTCCCAAGAATGGTCTTTGGAGCTCTTCCACCTGTGACAAGTGTCTTATGTTAAAATGAGAAAAAGATAATGTAGTAAGGTTTTCCTAAAGCTAACTTTATTTAAGTGTTACAGCTGTCTGTGAACTGAGGTTGTATCCTTCCTTCATTTTAACTGTAAAAATGTCCTGACTTTATGAAGTGATGGTGATATTAAATGATAAAGCATGGAATGGCCCTGTATTGGACCTTGTTGGGGGAGGGTGCTGGTTTATTCATTCATTCAGCAAATGTTCATTTTGTGTCTCCTACTTGTTAGGCATGGTTCTAGGCACTGGATCCGTAGTAAACAAAACTTACAAAAATCCTGGTCCTTGTGGAGGGCATTCTAGGCTAGGAGATGGATGATAAATAAGTAATTAAACCTACGTAAGGCTCAGTTTTCTTATCTGTAAAGTGGTCATTAGAGTCTGTACTAACCAGAGAGTTGTTTGTGAGAGTGAAGTAAGTTAATAAGACAGAGTGCTTAGGAGTTCATAGTGCCACTGAATATAACTGGATAGGGAGATGAAAAGAGTCCGAACATGTGCGGGTGGGGACGGGTTGCAATATTAAAATAGAGTGGTTACTGTAGAACTTCCTGAGAAGGTGCCACTTGAGCAGACCTGAAGGAGCTGAGGGAGTTGGCCAGTTGGACACCTGGGGGATGAGTGTTCTGTGTAGAGAAATTGGCCAGTGCAGAGCACCCGAGATGGACCACTCCTAGTGCATTTGATGAAGTGCGGAAAAGATGGGTGTGGAGAGCGATGGGGAGCCTGGTAAGGGAGGAGGTCAGAGGTTGAGGGGAGGGCGTGCTGGTTATCTAGAGCCTCCTAGATCATTCTAAGGATGTGGGCTTTTACTGTGAATGAAATGGGGAGCCACTGAAGGATTTTGAGCAGAGAAGTGTAACAATGTGATTTATGTTTTAAAAGATCTCACTTGGCTGTTATGTTGCTAATAAATTTGGGGAAACAAGGGCGAAAGCAGGGAGGTTGGTTAGAGCACTTCTAGAGTAGTCTGCATGGAAGACTAGTACTGCAGAGTGGCCAATAACGGTGAAATTCTGGACATATTCTGAAGGTAGAGCCAACAGATTATCATAAAGGACTGATGCAGGGTGTGAGACAAATATAGGAATCCAAACTACTTGGCCTGAGCAACTGGAAAACCGCACTGCCAATCGCAAAGATGGGGGGAAAGTGCAGGTGAAGGCAGTCTGGTGGAGGCAGGGCTGGCGAGTGTAGATGAGTTCAGTGTTGGACATGCCAGGTTTGATGGGACATAAAACCCACGTGATGGACGTTAGGATACTTCAGTCAGAAATACACCCAGGCCTCACATAATATCATGTGCAACTTTTCTAAATTAACTCAAAAATCACTTGTGGAATTCTTTGGTTGCTTGGGAGATAGTGCCCATTCTTAATCAGTCTATTCATTTATATCAATAATGTAATATAACTTAAGAACAGAGATAAAATGGTCACAATCCTTCTACCCTAAATAAAATGTTCCCTCAAAAATTGCAAATTAAAGAACAGTTTATGCACATCACACAAAAAAGAGGAAACTCACAAACTTTAAGTTTACTCATAACCAGTGAGAATTCACCACAGAATATATACTTAGTCATTTATTTTCAGTACATGCCCTTCATTTCAAATATATTGTTATTAAAGCATTTGAATATTATAATAAAGCTTCAGAAGATAAATGGGAAAGTCACTTGGGAATTCTCTGCTCTCAACGTTATCCTGATTATTAACAAAGTGCTGGAACTTTTGCAGTGATTATTGTTTTTGGTGTTGTGAGAATGAGAAAATAACAATTTTCTGAAAGAATAAGAACACCTTCTTTTTGACTGGTGCTGTGAAGAAAGCCTCCAGAAGATGTTTTTGCTGATCAAATAGCATGAATTCATATCATGAGCTAAACTTAAAGGGATAATTCCCAGCAGATGTGGAAGAGAGAGAGACTGTCTGCATTTCATTTAGAAGCCAGTCTTCTCTTCAGGTAGGATTCTCTATTTCTAACCCCAAATGCCTTCCAAAAAAACTGATGAATTTATACATTATCAGTGATAGGGAACAATTCAAAGAAAAACTATAATTAGATCTCCTTCCTTCTTCCTTTCTCGTGCCTTTTTTTTTTTTTCCTGTGAGATTTGGACTAAATTGAGGCAAAAGCAAAAGGAAGAAATGTGAGCCAAGTGACTTTGGAAAACTCCATCAACAGAGAATCTAAAGATACAAACTAGTGATAAAAAGCATAGGGTGCAGACGATGCTACAACTTAAATGTTGCTACAGCTTCACCCAATCATGTAAAGTAATCACATAAAACAAATACTCTTGAAGATTGTGGCCTTGAAAAAAGGTTAAAACCCTTTGTGAGTTCTTATAGTGCCAGTGCAAGAGTTACTATGGAAGCTTTTAGCAACAATGAAACAGAATGGGGAAAACGACCAGTTGTATCCTGGACCTACTTTTGGTGGCTTGAAATCAGTTATGGTGAGAGTATTTATACCACAGAAATCCTACAAGTCAGGGCTTTCCTTTCTGTTTTTTTTAGGAAGCCAGTTTATCAGCGCACCACTGAAAACAACTCCGCACAGGGATGAGCAAAACCCTTAGCACCTGTGACAAAGATTTTCATGCATGGCTTTGTCAAGGAAGATTTTGGGGAATAAATGAGTGTTCTTTCTACCAGCAAGGGACTTCTAACATCCATCTTAGTAAGATTTGGTGTTGTATTGTTTCTCTAGGAACTCAAATTTCATCAAACCCCCCTATTAGAAAGAATTTCTCTAAAGTATGGCTCCTGTTTCAGTTCTCTGCATTAAAATCTAACAGGAGAAAGGAGATAACATATATGGGACAGGAAAACATCCTGGTTTCTAGTAATTAGAAGTGGTACCACCTGATAAACTGTAGAGTCACTGGAATGGAGTTAAAGTCATGGAGAAACCAGACTTTTTTTTTTTTTTTGTGAATGACGGCGTTAAAGAATGTAACCCCTCTTAACTTCTCTACACCCCGTACATACAAATTGCTTATACTGATAGAACCCTCAATGGTAACTCACTTCACACATTCATTTTCTTTCTTGTTATCACTAAGATTAAACAGCATGTTGGGGCAATATTTGCATTTATCTAACCTTTTCCATTCAGGCCCCAGTGATACCACAGAACAGGTTTATGTACCTCACACGTCAGATCCTATCAAGAAACTTGGTAGTGACAGTTTGATAAGGACACCATAGCTTATTGAACTTGTTCTAAAAACAACAGCAGTGAACCACTCATCTCCTCACACGTTTTAATGACCTTGTTCTAGGGTGTCCCCATTTTTAGATGCAGCAGATGCACTATGGCTGTGTGGCCTCGGAGCTGCGGGCCTGGGATAACGTGTGCTTTGATATTATACCACTCAAAAATTCTCAAGAGATCTGTATTTCCTTCAATTACCTATTGAGAAAGGAGAGGTCTAGAGTTAGTTTTAACTTTCACCTTGCCAAAAGTTTCAACCAAAGTGAAAAAATAGCTTGTCAGAAAATGAGAAAAAAGAACTGCCAGGAGTTGTTTTTCTCTCTGCTCTCCAGAATGCCCGGCACAGCCGTAGACAGTGAACAGGAAGGCTGACAGACTTCGCTGTCTCAGGATAACATCCCTAGGGTTAGCACATAGAGGAACATAAGCTCAATATAAATATAAAATTAGAGTGAACTATAAAGGGTAATTTTCTTATCTGTTTTCATTTTTTTGTCTTTGAACTTTCTTTTGCATTTCACGTGGCACAAACATGCTCTTGTGAAATTTCCAAAGACTTGACTATAAGCACATTTAATACCATATATAACAGATAATTAAACCATATTCTTAAGCTTTTGAAAAATTATTATTGCTATAATTCAGTTAAATTCAAAGTGGGTTTTATTATCATGGTGGAATTCTTCTAGTAAGATTCTAATCTTGCTAGAATTTCAGATCTTTCGGCTCCTTGCAATTAAAGCAGGAAAAGGAACATTCAGCCAACCTGAGGTTTTAATTTTGTTGTTCAGTTATCTTTCTAAACTTACAAACATTACTCTTCTAGTTGTGTCCCAGAGGCCTGGGGCTCTCTCTGTCCTTGGGATGAGACCACACTGGTTAAGGGGACACATTCTAGGAGGAATGGTAGAGAAACCTATGGGGTACTTCAGCACAAACAGATTCAGTGTTTGTCTTGAAACCAACAGAGACTTTGTGAGTTTAGAAAACATTTTGCTTTGTGACCATCTGAAATACAATTGATATTATTGTGGTGAGGGAAAGACAGAGCACATTTCCAAACACTGGCTTATTTTTTGGTGGTTTTGCGTCTGTTCCCCAGGACACCTTTATCATATCCCTCTCCTCCTCTCTGAAACTGTCTCCTACTTCTGAAGCCAAAAAGAAAGGTGTTAGTATTGAGAGACCTTCTGTCTTCTCACATCAGATTCTAGCTATGATGATAAATAACAAATTATGAAATATTTCAGTTATACCACAGTGTATAGAGAACAATATAAAGATTGATTACCCAACATCTGTATTAAGACATAAAATATTACAAACACAAGTGAAGCGCCCTGTGTATTCCTTCTGCCTCCTCAGAGGTAGCCACTATTTTTATAGGCATTTTTATACTTTTACTATATGTGTTCATCCACAAACAATATATAATGCTGAGCTGAGTGTTTAGAATTCTTATAGAGGTGGTTTCCTTTTTTCATATTATTTTTAAAGCTAATGCCCACAGCTCTGGTTTACTGATCTTCACCACTACAGTGTATTCCATAGTATGGATATACAGTAACTTATTTATCCATTTTTTGGTTGATGCTTTAATGGATATTTAGTACAGGTCTCCTTGAGCAGTGTGTGAGAATTTCTTTAGGGGACAGACCTAGGATTAGAAATTTTGGATCACTGGATATGAACATCTTTGACTTCACCAGATATTGCCAGTCTCCAAAGATTGAATCACCAGCAGTGAAGCCAGCAGCCTGTTTAACAAGCCCTCTCTGATCCAAGTTTCAGATCCAGTAATCTGGATTGGGGTGGTGGTGGTGGGTAGTGTGGAAAAAATTTGCATTTCTAACATGTCCTTCAGTGCTGCCGCCACTGCTGTAGTATAGTATCTGGGACTACGATTTGAGAGCAAGTGCTCTAGAGAATGCCTGTTGGATTCCATTTCAAAAGAGAGAGCCGATGAGGCATTATCTGAAAAAACGTGGCTGGTGGGAATTAGGTAACTGAAGTTAGCCTGTGGTATAATTTTGGCATTCAGTATAGATAATATACAGTAAATAACCAGCATGACTGATTGACATAAAAGGCTAACGTTACATTCTTAGTGAGTTCTCTTGCCAGACTGGGACCCCTGCATGCTCTCCTGCTGTTGCTGTGCTGAGAGGGGGAGGGGAATGGGCAGGTGGCTTGGTGTCAGGCCAGGGTGAGCAATAAGCTGGGCTGACCTTACTTGTGGTGTGTTGAGTGTCTTGACTGCAACAGTAAAACCCAGGCATGGGCCTAGATTCAGGTGTGAATATTCACTTAGGGGTTCCTTAAGATTTAACTCATGAGACTATTGAGTCTTACTGATGGGGCTATTTTTAGATATTTATATGCAAAAGAGAACATCAATCTTTATATTATATAATTCTGAAATTATATTTCAAAGTTAGTACTGTGGTAACAGAATGGCAAGAAGGTTTCTTTCAAACATTCTTTCTGTAAGAACTTCTTACAAAAAAATCCTGAAAATGAAGCCGTCACACATTTAAGGGTAAAAAGACACAGATAGGTTTGCACGTCTGCAAATGGTTAACATGTAAACTGGAAGGAAAGTGATTTTATTTGCGATTTAGCAATGTAAAAGGTCAATTGGGGGGAAAAGGTACCAGTAACAAAAAGCATTTGCTTACTTATGTCACAGTTTACGTAACAAGATAACTGTTTTTCAAAACCAGACAACAGGTTCAAAAATACCCCTCTTCACACCCGTAAGCGATGCTGTCGGGAACAACGGCTGCTCGGAGGCCATTTATTGCAGGCGTGTTTCCAGCGAGTTCTGGTTATCATTACTCCATTTTATCGTCTTTCTTTTTTCTCTCTCATCAGCTTTTTGCTTTCTTCCCGTCTTCTTTTATTCACTGGATTCCGAGGATCGTAGATTTCAAACGTGTCTGAGTCTTGCATGCTTGCGTCTTTCACTTTTCTCGTTTTATCCTCAAACTGAAGTACATGTGACATCCTAAGGAGGGAGAGAGACGGGTCACTGACTTGGCATGAGAACTCAAAGCAGAAATACCCTCCACGGCACTATGCTTGGCATAAGGAGCCAGCGGGTACCGAGCACCACGACGGGCTTGCTGTTTACTGGTGCTTGTGCCACATGGAAGCCAACTTCTCAGAAACCGCTTAAATTTGAAACCATGTCTGGAGTTTGCTTTGTTGGTTTGTATTTCTAGTAGCGAGTCTCTTTCCCTCAGTCTTCACTTAAGGTTCCTTCCTTGATGGGAGGTTAAAAGAGGTCTACTCTCAAGTCTTCCTGTAAGTAAACTCAGAAAATTCTGCCAGCTTCCTTTAAAGAGCACGTTCACTTAGCCAGTGAGCCAGGATGCATAGCAAAACTGACAATAAACCAGCCCTATCTGATTTTTTTTTCTTCAGTAGTTAAATGGGTCAAGTGTAGGGAATGTGTTCAGAAAATTCCTGTTCAAATGGTGTTATGACTCCCTTTTCTGGGGGAGTTGATGGCTTTAATTTTTGTGTGTGTGTGCAAAAAGAAACTAAGCTTTTGGGCACAGCTCCATGGACTAATATCCTCCTCTTACTGTTGATTACAACAAGTCTAACCACCCTGCTTTCCTACTTTATCAAATGCTTACAGGTCTTAAGGTATCAACATGTGCTTGAATCCTAAGTGGTCATAAGCTGGCTATGCTTAGCAGCAGGGAAATATGTAAGTGATTAGTTCTGCCCCCATTAGGAGGTGACAGGAATAAATAGGGAAGTCCAAAAACCAGATTCCGGGGCAGCTGAGTGAATCTGAAAAGAGAAAAGTTCAGTTTTTATATATAAACAAAACTGCTAAGGCTTTTCCCACTAGTTATTAAGCAGTTTTTAAAACAGATGTACCCAGCACTTTTCTTTATCACAGCAGATAGGGCTAAATTGCCTAAAGGATTAGCACTCCCCACATGCCAGTTGTAACTTTCAGATGAAACCCAAATATTGCAGTGATTTCTTTTTCCCTGTAAAAGCAGAGATTGGGCAATAGGCACTAGCAGAGATCCCCCACCCTTTTTTCTTGCAGTATTGAAAATACTGAGTGAAGTTTACTTATGTTAAAAACTCCCATGGATATACTTAGATTTTGAAGAATCCTAAAAAGATTTTGGGAGGGAAATGAAATGTTACAATTTTAGTGATACTGCAATTCCTAAAGGCTCAGTAGGGTTGACTGTTCACCAGGGTTGGTAAGTTGAGTCTTAAAACCATTCCCACCCCTTTCCATTCCAGAAAAGCTTATTGGAATGCAGTGAGCACGAGTGATATTATTATATGGATGATGTAAGTCTACTTCAGTTTACTGAGGTAAAGCGCATTTGCATTTCTATACTTTATTAACAATACATTATTTGCATCAGATTTCCTAACATGACACATCACACATGAGAACTGCTGACTTTTTATACTTCCATGACTTTAACTTTGGAAACAACCTTATTTAGAAAATGCATTATAGGATTATTGCTTATTTAGATGGAGTCCTCAGGGTCTGATTTTCTTGTGCTTTCAATTTCCTACACTGTATAAGTATAAAGCAATCTCTAACTCCTAGAAAAAGGTGATTGTTCTCCAGCTATGGTAGCAAGTGACCACTAGAGCCAGATTGAATCTATCAAATAGGACTTAATCAATTAATGATGGCTTGCCTAGGCCAAAATGATCAATGATAACTCACTTCAGTAAATACACCTCTGAAAGCCAACTAATCAGTGACAGCCTCATAGTTTTGAAAGTTGGCCAGTCAGTGGCAGATTCACTCCAGTGAACATACTTCTGAAAGCCAGCCAATCACCAACAGTCTCCCCTGAATAATGGTACTTCTGGGGCTGATGTCAATCCCTAAACAATCCCTAACCCCAAAATTCTACGTGAGATTTGCAACCTGCTTTGCTCAGAGAGACTGTGCCTAAAAGCACGCTCTTCCTTACTTAAGTAGTAAATTAAGCTTTTTTTCCTCAGATATTGAGAGGTGGTCTTTTTCTTTGATACTTCTTATCATCTGTGCAGCATTCCCCACAGCATGCACGCCTTAGAAATTCTAAGTGTATTGCCACTGATGAGGATCAAGTTTAGAAGCGTGGCAAGACTGTACTGTATGTATCACACGTCATGGGGCGCCCAGACCCTACGCTGTACTTCGGTAAGTGTTCAGCAGCTTTCCAAATGACTCGTGCTGATGCCTAAGCCCAACTCGGAAATAGCTGGAATTACATGCCCTTTAAAACAATTTTATTCAATATTCCTATGATGTTATAAAAAACCAGAAACTACTATCTTAGTTAACTTAATACTTTTCCATTAAAAACACTCCACTATTTTAAAAATCGTTCCTGTCTCTGCCCCAAAATACAGATGGACTTTTTTGGTAATATTTGTTTCTAGTAGGGACTATCCATGTTTCAAAAATGACTACCAGAATTTGTCAAATAAAACCATAAAAAGGCACCTTCCTCCTTTCTATGCCATGAGAGAATCTTGCAACTGTTGGATTTAGTTCTTCTGGTATAGGAAGTGAAATCTAGACATGTGAACAACAGCACAAAGTCCACAGAAAGAAACAGACATTCCTACAAATCTGAAGAAACAGAAAACCGTAAGTTAAAGTAGCTGTCTTTTTCAACTGTTTGTTTCATACACCACTGCACTAAACAAGTCCAACGTTTTGATTAATAACAAACCTAAACCCAGGGGAAAGAAGGGGCTATCGGCTTACAAACTACTTCAGCTTTAATATCATAATACTTAGTATGGCTGGTTTCTCAGCAATAATATTTAATCTTTAATAGAAATAAAAACATAATCAAAATGCTTCACCCTTTTATCTTTCAACATGCTTTGGTCACTTCATTTTAAAAAGAAAAACAAAACAGTTATTATGATTTTCAGCATAATAAACTCCTGACCTGTGTGCCTCCATAAATCACAGACTGCATGAATTGAAAGCATGCCCACACTTTATAGCCTCCTGTGGGAGCAGACATGCAGACTCAGAATAGAGACTTAATTCAAATGTACCAATAACTCAATACTATCCATTCTGTGGCTGGTCATAGAATTGGACCAGCAAGAGCAACAGCAGTGAATTGTTTTGAATTACACACTTATCTTTTACATATGAAAATTTTAGATCTCGTTCTGTTGATGGCAAAGACAAAAATTTAGTTGTGATTAATAAAAAAATTTTACATAACATCAAATTCTCAAATAAGAACACTGACTTTAGTGGTTATAGAAATACGGAGGCTTACCATCCTCAGAGGTGTGTGTGGTGGCAGTTCTCCGCTCTCTGTACATCCCCTGCTCAGCCAAGGCCCTGCTTTACCTGTATCCTGCTCACATGACTGACCTTCCCTCTTTAATCAGAAGCCTAACAGTGACTGCCTACATGTTTGCCCCCGCCTCAGCTGCTGACTGTTCTAATGCTTAGACCAGAAGGGCTCCACACTGCCAGGCCGTCACAGGGAACCATCTGCCCTCCGGTGACTGCTAGCTCGAGGGGCTGTGAGGCACGTGCCCCTCTGCTGGTTTCCCTGGTAACCCATGAGCCAGCCTGATGCCAGTTCCTCCTATGAATGGCGATCTCCTTCTCCACCCCAGGAGCTGTACCCTGCCTGCTCAACACAGTGGGCTGTCGCTCTAGGACCTTTTGCGTCTGACTTGTAAGATTCCCTATCCAACAAATCTTGGACGTCGCTGTCTCTGGACTCTTTCTCCGGACTTGCGGCTGGGCAATTGCAAGGTTCACAGGCCTGTGGGGTGCAGCCCACCAACAGGTAAGTTGTGTTTTTGTATGAGACTGTGGAATTATAAACAAAAGTAAATACGTGCGTCTTTGATAGGGACCCACACTTTGACTAACCTCACTAATTTGACATCCAGTTTTTAAAGTTCTCATATAATGGTGAAATAAAGATATGACAGCAATTAATATTAATGGGGAAAGCAAGAGAGGTACTCATTCTCCAACATAAAGTAGTACAATGTAGAATTCAACTTGAACAACTCATTTCTGACTGAAATGCATTTAACTTACTTATATTTGTGTATACATATGTATATGTGCTTATATTAATGTAAACAGCTTTTTCACTGGGATTTCTATAAATCACTCCTCATTTCCAAGTCTCCCTAATGTAGGGATTTACACCCTACCCTTAAGTTGTCGTAGGCGTCCTAACTGTTCTGTGTACTATTTCTCCTTCTAACTTCCAAAGGTTCTTAAAAAAAAAACTTTCTTACACGTTTCTTTTATAGCATTCCTTTGAGCA